GAGATCGCGCCCAGAAACTCCACCTGTCTTCCGTCTCACTTGTGTGGCTACTGTTCCGTGTGACCGCAGCCTAAACTGAACATTCCAGTGCAAATTTGGAAGGTCCGTAAATAGCCAGGGCCAGGTTGGGCCAATGATGTTCATTTTGGCCACAGCAACTCCTGTCATCAAACTGAAGCCAGAGGTCAATGCTGAGGCTGCTAGCTATAGTTTTGGATGAGTTACGTATGCCACAGACAACCATTGCCCCATTGCAAAAACCTGGGGGGAACATTCTTGGGATTGCAGGGGTGAGGAAGTTCCAAGTCCTTCCATTTTTTGGCACTGCCACTCCCACAACTACCATCAAGACATTGGATAAGTTTCAGGTTCATAGCTTTTATATGTGGATGAATTGTACCTGCCAAATCAGACAGATGGAGGGAGGGACGGAGAGAGAGAGGATTCTGCTTTTGCTTCAAACAATTTTTGCTGTTTGTTTTAAACAGAAAGCTCAGCTTTTTCTTTTACTCAAAGAGCTGAAATGCATTCTCAAAGTACTTGCCCCATCTTTCACTTGTACTAAGAACAGGTGGAATGTGGAGGATTGTCTTAGACTCCAGATAAATGTTGAAAAGGAACAGTTTAGGTTAACTGGCTGACATGCAAGGCATACATTATGCTTTTTGAATATTGTTTTCTTGATGATGTCAGTCCATGTATTTCCTGAATATGTTCAGAATATGTTCAAGAAGAAGAAGATGAAAAAGAAAGTTGTCAAATTTTGATTAGTTATTTCGTCCAATTGTTTTCCTGTTAATTGAAGCATATTCCCTAAATATGCTGAGAAGAAAGTAGTCAATTTTGGATGGACTACTTGGTCCAACTATTTTCTTGTTAATTGAAATAAAACATAGATCTTCCTCCTCATGACTTCATTTTTGACATGGAATCTAACATGTACAACAAAGCCTCAAGAACGTCTTATAGGAGGTTTATGAAATTCTATGAGATGGCAGTGAAGACTGCTGTGATGGACTCCAGGCTTGGGATCACCCTGCAAGAAAAGACACCTGCAGTCATGTGACTAGCAGTGGTGAAGTAATTCTGATGCAGAACTTGAGGGGGTTCCAATGATTTTAAAAAAACACCTCTTGACAGTTGGAGTTTGGACATTGAGACTGTCAATTGTTATTTTTTGGTCAGTGGGTACTGTGCCAGGGGACTGACAACTCATGTCAGACTTCGCTGAGTCCGAGGACCAAAATGAGATTTCTCTACAGATTCCAATATTAAGGGAATCTGAGACAACCAAAAAGATTAGTAATTTGGACATAACCTGTGAGGCATTTGCGAGCTTTTTTCTCTTTTTTTTGCTGAGAAAGTCTATTCGCTCTGCTGTGACATTCCTGCTAACCTTGATACAGGATGTGAACTAAAAGCCCCTTTGCTGTCTTTGGATTAAGTATTTGACAACTGCAGTTGGCTCTCTTAGGCTGATGTTGACAGGATCCTGAGTGCTGCAAAGCCAACCACTAGCCTCTTTGACTCATGTTCTTAGTGGCTGATGTGAGCCGGCAGTGAGGGTATATGGGGCCCTCTAATGAACATTATCAATTGGTCCCTTGCCTCAGGTGTCTTTCCAGGGGGTTTAAAAGAAGCAATGGTAATACCGCTCTTGAAGAAACCATTGTTGGCTCCTTCTGATTTATCCAACTACCCCCTGGTTTTGAATCTTTCTTTTCCGGGTAAGGAAGTTCAGAGAGCAGCTGCTGAGCAGCTTCAGAGCTTCCTGGGGGACACATCAGCTCTATACTCCTTCCATTCTGGTTCCTGCCCAGGTCACTGGATGGAGACTGTGCTGGTTGCTCTCATAGATGATCTCTGTGAGCACTTGGATCAAGGCAGGTTGGTGCTGCTATTATTACTTGACTTAACAGCAGCATTCAACACAGTGGATCACGATCTGCTGGTTCACCATCTTGCTGTAGTTGGATTATATGGGACAGCCCTGAAGTGGGTTGCCTCATTTCTTCATGGTCGGGGACAGAGTGTGGCGCTGAATGAGAGGGCTTCCTCTAGATACCCTGTGACATTGCAAGGTACCTCAGGTGGCTATCCTTTCCCTGATGTTGTTTAATATCTACATGCACCCTCTTGACCAACTGGCATAGATTCAGGCTGGGTTGTCATCAGTAAGCTGATGACATCTAGCTTTATCTGCTGGTAGACAGATGAATGAACACTGCCCCAGGAAATCTGGCTGAGGATTTGGAGGCTGTGGTGAAGCGGCTGAAGCAGAGTCAGCTGAGACTGATTCCATCAAGGACAGAGATTCTCTGGTTGGGTGGGGGAAATTCAGATTTTGGGTGCTAACTCTTGACCATGTACCTTTAACACTGGCACAGATGGTCAGTAGTCTGGGTGTGGTCCTGGATGCCTCCTAATCAATAGAGGCCCAGGTCACAAATGTTGCCAGGCTGGCATTTTTTGAACTGTGTCAGGTCATTCAATTTGCCCCCTACATGTCTCACCCCAAACTAGCCACAGTAATCCATGCAACAGTCATCTCTAGACTTGATTACTGTCATTCACTCTATGTGAGGCTGCCCTGAAGGCTGATCCAGAAGTTACAACTTGTCCAGAATGCAGTGGCTCAGGTCCTTCAGGGGACATCGATAAATGCACACATACAACCTTATGCTTCGCCAGCTGCGCTGGCTCAAGTTTGAGTACTGGGTCAGATTCTTGGCCTTTGAGGCCGTAAATGATTAGGAACCAATGTACCTATGGGACCACCACTCCTGGTATGCCGCCCCCGAGAGCACTATGCTCATGAGATCAACACCTTCTGAAAGTCCCTCGCCAAAGAGCATCCAGTTATCCTCAACTGGAGCCATGCCCTTCTCGGCCGTGGCGCTGACTTGGTGAAACTTCCTGCCTGCTAACATCATGGCCCTGTGGGACTTCTTACAATTCTGCAGGGCCTGCAAGGCCAAGCATATGGTTGAGGACAGCAATGGTTTCTTAACTACAGTTTTAACTGCAACCGACCTATTAACTGCTTTCTCTCCCCCTCTACCCCCAATGGTAATCTAAATTTGGATTAAAATTTTTGCACTATCAAGCCATGTAGATGTTAGGTTTTATGGCTTTGTAATTTAGACTGTTTTCATATATTTTGTATGAATTTGTTGTACACTGCTCTGAGCCCACTCATGGGGAGGGTGGTATAGAAGTTTAATGAAATAAATAAATAATAGGGGGGAGGCAAGTGTTTCAAAATTGGCCACCCACTTCACGATTTTCATGGGAGTTGCAGTGCCAACTGATGTGAAAAGAATAGGAACATCCTTGCCATTGTAATCTCCAGAAAACCCCATCCCCCTGCTATTCGCATTGGAAGACATGGTTGTCTTTGGAAGTCATAAATCCTCAGAAAATAAAGCTATGAATCTGAAAATGGGACAATGAGTTCCAGATGTTGATAGGACTGGAAGATCATTACAAATTACTTGTATAGTGCAAGGGTAGCTAAATATAAAAAGTATGTGAATGCAGTGTTTTGTTTGTAAGAGACAATATCCCTATATAAGATTCACTGATTTCAATCAATTCCACCCCTACCTCCCCCCCCCACAGTACTGGTTCTCAGTACCAGTACATACTGTCACACACACAAAAAAAGCCATGTGTGGATGTGACACAGCTTTTCAAAAAGAAGAAGAAAGCAATAGCAAAGCCAGAAGAAACCTGCATGATTTGACACACAGTATTTAGACTGGGAACACCTGACTTCAAATTGCTGTTCAGCAAAGAATATCACAATTTCTCAGCCTACCTTTCCAGAGTTATCACAATCAAACCAGAGATGAGGGGACAACAACAGCACACACTACCTTGAGTTGCAGGTGGAAAGAATTGACAAAAAAACCTTGTTTACTTATTGGTTTATTGCAGTCAAATGTTTGTAACAAATAAAAACTAGCATCACCACAGGTGGCACTGGACACCTGATAGAATAGTAAAATGTTATGTGACAACAAATAGAAATTGTTGGAAATGTAAAAAAAAAATGTAAGTACGTTCTTGCATATGTGGTGGAGGTGTGAAAGCATACAAGAATATTGGCATAAAATATATATAATAGTAAAAGACATCACAGGACTTGAAATACCATTCTTACCAGAAATATGTTTATTGAATATACTCCCAGAAACAGTTAATAAAGAAAATGTATATGTAATAACGTATATTTTTATTGTGGCAAGGATAATGTTAGCTAAATGTTGGAACACAGACAACATACCCTCAAAGGAAAAACTGATGGAAAATTGTTGTTAATGGCAGAAATGGACAGGTTAAGCTTAATGTTGCAAGGGAAAGACCAAGAGCTATTTGAAAAAAAGATGGAACAAAATGTATATATGGTTGAAAAATGCAATGTAATAGTGACTCACAAATATGTAAAGGATGATGCATTAAGTAATGTTGTTAAGATGGTAAAACTATAAATAAATGGGGGGGAAGACTAGCATCCCAGAGCAAATGTGTTATTCTTAATGAATAGCATTGGATCCAGGCATGGAAGGGGGGGCTTCTTCCTGCCTCAACACACTCTCATAATTACAGCTTTAAAAATAAATGGGAACTAGAAGGAGAGGCTCTCACTTTCCTGCCCTCCCTCTGTAGTGGTAATGAGGCATGATTAAAATTGGGATGTTTTCTGCCTTTTCCCTGATGGCTTAATCAAGGACACCATTCCTTTAAATGGTAACACCTGGTTTTCTGCTTAACGATGTCTGACAATGTTCAGATAAAAAAGGAACACTACAAAAATGTGCCTCTGAACCAAATTGGGAGTGGATATAGAAAAAGCTTTAAGGGAATGTTGAATTCAGGGGGGATTGAATTGATGAGGGGCGATCTTATCATCGCCATAGGGGAGTATGTAGATATTTTTTTCTGTTTTTTCGGTATTTGTCTTCAATGAAATCACCATTTTGATTGCACTCAAATTCTCATTTCCTTAACAGCTGATGTCTGCTATTCAACTCAGGCCGCAGGAATATTATGTAGCATTTAGGGAAGTAGATACAAAACAAGAGCCCAGCACTAGAGGCCAAGATGGAGAAGATCTCCACGGCTACCATATACTTCCCCTTGGAGCTGAGATAAGATGGAACAAAGGACAGCCAAACACCACAAAACACCAACATGCTGAAAGTGATCAGTTTGGCTTCATTGAAACTGTCAGGCAATTTCCTGGCTAAGAAAGCCACAGTAAAACTGACAATAGCCAGAAATCCCAGATACCCCAGAACCAAATAAAACATTGTGACAGATCCTTCGCTGCATTCCACTATGATTTCTCTAGCTAGAGTGTCCATGTCAAAATGTGGGAATGGAGGAGCAGTGCAGAGCCACACTGCACAAATACTGGCTTGAATGAGGGAGCAAGAGATGAGAATGGAGGTTGCGAGTCTTTTCCCCACCCATTTCCTCATCTGGGTTCCTGGCTTGGTAGCTGCAAAAGCCAAAACCACGGTGAAGGTTTTGGCCAGCATGCACGAAATAGCCACTGAGAAGATGATGCCAAAAGCAGTTTGCCGTAAGTAGCAGGTCACTGTCTGAGGCTGGCCAATGAAGAGTAAGGAGCAAAGGAAACAAAGCAGCAGTGATATAAGAAGATAATAGGTGAGGTTCCGATTGTTGGCTTTGACAATTGGAGTGTTTTGGTTCTGGATAAAAATTCTTAGGACCAAAGTTGTGATCAGAGAAAAAGAGAGAGCCGAGGAGGCTAAAATGATCCCCAAAGTTTCTCTGAAGGAGAGGTAATGTAGAGCTTTGGAAATACACTTATCTTGGTTCTTGTTTGGATATTGGTCTTGTTGGCATTTAAAACAGTCATCCATATCTGAAAAACAGAACAAAGGCTGGCTTACTCCCCCCCCCCCATACTCTTATTGTGGTGTAATCAGTTATGCATAAAAGTTATTAACACGTTTGACATATCTGCTTTCTTATGGGTAAAGCCTATATACAGAATTTGGCCTTTTTTTTGGCTGTCAAGTCACAGCTGATTTATGGTGACCTCGTGGGGTTTTCAAGGCAAGAGACATCCAGAGATGGTTTGTCATTGCCTGCCTCTACGTGGTGTCCTTAGTCTTCCTTGGTGATCTCTAATCCACATACTAACCAGGGCCAACACTGCTTAGCTTCCAAGATTTGAGAAGATCAGGCTAGACTGCTATTGTATCATTTATATTTGACCAGATTCCCCCCCCCCATTTTATTAGTTACACAACACACCCATAGTTTGCTGGATCTTCTTCCTTCTCTTTGGAATGGCTCCTACTTCCAGATTTGGAGTAACTTTTTGGAATACACTTCACTTGTGTGTGTAAAGTTCAGTTGAGGATTGAACTTGTGCCCCTCTAGTGTCTGCTGTCTGGTCCTAAGAGTGACGAGCAAGGACCCTGGTCAGACAGAAAGATACTACCAATGGAATTAAGTGGTGACAGGGGTTGGGGTGGTGGACTTGCTTTGCGTGTTCTTCCAGCTGTGGGAGTCTGTTTCAGTCCACTCCACCTCTGCTGTCTCTGGCCTCAGCTAGAAGAAAAAGGGGTTTGCTCACTCATCTTTTCCTCCTCCTACCCAACCTTCATCCTTTCTGCTGGGTGCTGCTGGGTAGTTTGTGTATCCCTGGCTTCTCACTTGACTCTTCTATAGAGAACAGTGTGCATAGTGTATATTCTGTGGAGAGTCATGGTCTCTTGTGACAGCTCCTGCTTTTAAAAGACATTGAGGGCCTCCTCTGTTCTGTCACACTGTCAGCATGCCCTTCCCTTTTGAGTAGTTTATCTAGGGAGACAGCAAGATACACTTGCTTTAGATTCACCAGTTGGTGGCAATGATCCTCTGACCCCAGACAAGTTCCTCTGGATTACTGAGGAAGAACATGGCCTTCACAATTAGTCCGAGGAAAGGAAGAAGTATTTGGAGTTTTGCATAAGCTAATGCCACTAGATGAGTCCTGTAGCGCCACATGACTACACAGATTAAAAAGGATATGAACTATTTCCAAGTCACTAATGAAACAAACAACAACACAAAACATGTGCCTGGATTGCAAGAGTCATATTCTTATTTTTATTAACCTTGGCAGCTGTATTAAATTGCCAGTCTTTCTCCATTGCTTGAACTTCCTGCAAGACAGCTAGGGGTTGTGCCTACAATGGAGATTGGATGATGAACAAAGAAGGAAAGCTTAAAAGGCACCATTTGTTCTGAGTTATTTGTGGTGATGGATGGGATGGGATGAAATGGATCTAGCTCATGTCTCCACTCAATTGCATATAATCTCCTCTTTATTATAGCCCCTGTCTCATATGGCTTTTTTCCATGAAGGTCCCATGAGCCCTAAAATAGGCTTTTTTGGGGGGGGGGGGCAACCCCTTTTTTTCAACAATAGAACAGATAGTTGGATTTAACTTCACTTGTCCATTTCTTTAGTTATGAATCACAATAATTACAAAAATGTTGGGTATTCCATAATTATTTTAATTAACATGAAAATGCAACAAATTCCCCCTCTAAACAGTCCATAACATAAAAAACACCATGTCTTTCTTTTCTTTCATTCATTATTACATTCTTGCCCTTCTCTGAGTTGACTAGCTTCATTTTTTCAAGGGAACAAAAATTATCCTAATGGCTTAATCTTTAATCATTAGGGAAGACAGAGACGGTCTGGACTTTGTTGACTGACTGCAAACTGAACCCATTAGGATTACATACATGTGGGATTTCCAACCTTGAAAGAGATCGAAAATGACTTTGGCATTAACTCTCCTCCTTATGCCTGACCTTCCGTGCAAATTTCCCTTTCCTTTCTACTTTCTCTCGCTTGCCTGTAGCTCTCCAAACCAAATCTACCTCAAGGCCTCCTCCTCCTGCCTCCCTGCCCAGTTGCTTTGCCTCACTTTAGCCACCAAATGCTCTTGCCTCATCAGTTTGCCTCCTTCTCCTCCTCCTTTTCGACCCAAGTGGCCGCAGTGCTATCTGTGTTATCATTTGGAAGCTTTCCTTTCAATTTTTTTCCAAGATTTTAATGTTAAACATGGATGCATTTTCCTGAAAAGAAGGAACCCCAATAATAAAACAGTCCCTTTGGGAATGAATTGCAAAAATGAAAGAAATGATATAAACTCCCGAGCACATGTTTAAATCCAATCCAATGAATTTATCTGAGGTGGAGAGACTTTGGATGTGGGTCTTTTGTCTCATATTTTAACACTGTACATTATGTCTCCTACCTTTCCGATCTGAAATCTTCTCATCTGGACACAGAGCACAACTGTAGCAACAAAATGGTGCCCCTTCCTTCTTCTTTCTGCTATAACCAGGATGACAGTGGTCATTACACACAGCAAGGGGAGGCACCTACCCCCCAAAAGATAAAGAAAACAATTTTTTTTCTAGTTTATCAGCTATACTCCCTTAAAAGTCTGTCAATTTCAAGAATTCAATTCATGGCAAAAAAAATGGTCCTTTAAATTGGATTTAAATGTAAAGCATTCAAAGATGAGAAAATAATTTGCAAATTAATAACTCAGTGAGTTTCATGCACTTTGCTGTTTAAGTAAAATGGCTGAGAAACTCATGGATATTTTACGGAATTTGTACATTAGGGTGACAAGAATCTTAGACAATTAGTATTGGGGGCGGGAAATCACATTTACTGTTATTATAAGCAGAGGACATGCCAGGATGGTCACAGTTCCCCCCTCTGCCCCCATCCCTACAACTTTTGCCTTTTTCTCTTTCCTGTCCCAGCAGTCACCCCAGTCTTGATAACTGCTTTCTTCCATCCCACCTACCAAGCTTGATCACACACTTCCTCCCTGCAGCAGAAACTAATCCTCAACAATGTGGTTCAGGGTAGCTAAGGAAGCCCAAATGGCAGCAAAGATCTCACAATGTAATCTTATGAGATCTTTTTAAAGTTTCAATGTTTGCATTGATGCAGACATTGTTTCTTAAGGACATGGTCTCATTTTCTGATTCATACCTGGGGCCAAGTTAAGAATTGGATACATGATTTGGATCCCACCTGTTTCACCATACTAGGCCATGTGATAGCCTCTTCATTAATGGTGAACTCTCTGCCCGGTGAGGCCTGTGGATCCATCCTTCCAACTTTCACTCTGACAAAGGATTTGTTTGGCAAAGTAACCCAGTTTATAATATCAAATCCGGATGCTATTTCACCATTCTCATTAAAAAGTACCAGGTCTCCAGCAGTGTTGTTGAATGAGATGCTTCTCAGGAAAGGGTGAAACTAGATTGAAAATGCACAGGTCAACAAAATGATCAAATAGTTTTTTTAAAAGAAAAATCACTCTAATGTTACAAGCAAAAGGCTTTGAGCTATTTCAATACAGGGTTTGATTTTGTTTCTCTGACAGGTTTTTTATTAGGTGCCCAGTGTAGATTAAAAGTAAATAAAATTCCAGGATAAGGAAGTTCTTTAACTTTTTCTAACTCACACCACCTCTTGAGCCCACAGAATGTTTTAGAATTTCTTTTCTTTTTCTTTTTCTTTTTTTTAGTGAAGACCACCACCTTGGACTTACAACAGTTTATTACTGTTTCATGCCTTTATTCCAGAAAGTAGTGGCAAAGATAAAGGACAAAAATGGTAGGGACCTAACAGAAGCAGAAGAGATTAGGAAAAGATGGCAAGAATACACAGAAAAACTATACAAGAAAGACCTCGATGTCCTTGACAACCACAACGGTATAATCACTGACCTCGAGCCAGACATCCTGGAGGGTGAAGTTAAATGGGCCTTAGAAAGCATTACTAACAACAAAACTAGTGGAGGTGATGGTATTCCAGCTGAGCTATTCAAAGTCTTAGAAGATGATGCTGTTAAAGTGATGCACTCCATTTGCCAGCAAATTTGGAAAACGCAACAGTGGCTACAGGATTGGAAAAGGTCAGTATACATTCCAATCCCAAAGAAGGGCAATGCCAAGGAATGCTCAAACTATCGCACAATTGCACTCATATCACACGCTAGCAAGGTCATGCTCAAGATCCTACAAGCTAGGCTTCAACAGTACGTGGATAGAGAACTGCCAGAAGTACAAGCTGGGTTTCGAAGAGGTAGAGGAACGAGAGATAAAATTGCCAACATTCGCTGGATTATGGAGAAAGCAAGAGAGTACCAGAAAAACATCTACTTCTGCTTCATTGACTATGCTAAAGCCTTTGACTGTGTGGATCACAACAAACTATGGCAGGTCCTTAAAGAGATGGGAGTACCAGACCACCTCACATGTCTCTTGAGAAACCTGTATAAGGGCCAAGAAGCGACAGTTAGAACCGGATACGGAACAACTGATTGGTTCAGCATAGGAAAAGGAGTACAACAAGGATGTATATTGTCACCTTGCTTATTTAATATATATGCAGAGTACATCATGCGAAATGCTGGCCTGGATGAATCACAAGCGGGAATTAAGATTGCTGGGGAAAAGATCAACAACCTCAGATATGCAGACGATACCACTCTAATGGCAGAAAGTGAAGAGGACCTAAAGAGCCTCTTGCTCAGGGTAAAAGAGGAGAGCGCAAAAGTGGGCTTGAAGCTCAACATCAAAAAAACTAAGATCATGGCATCCGGCCCCATTACTCCTTGGCACATAGAAGGGGAAGTCGTGGAAGTAGTGACAGACTTCATGTTCCTGGGATCCCAGATCACCGCAGACTGTGACTGCAGCCATGAAATTAAAAGACGCCTCCTTGGGAGGAAAGTGATGGCGAACCTAAATAGCATGATAAAAAGTAGAGACATCACCCTGCCAACAAAAGTCCGCATGGTCAAAGCAATGGTATTCCCAGAAGTAATATATGGCTGCGAGAGTTGGACTATAAGGAAGGCCGAGCGCCGAAGAATAGATTCTTTTGAACTATGGTGCTGGAGAAGACTCTTGAGAGTCCCTTGGACTGCAAGAAGATCAAATCAGTCAATCCTAAAATAAATCAACCCTGACTGTTCCCTGGAAGGTCAGAGAATGAAACCGAACCTCAAATACTTTGGCCACCAAATGAGAAGGGAGCACTCACTGGAGAAGACCCTGATGCTGGGAAAGATTGAAAGTCAAAGAAGACGGGGACAGCAAAGGATGAGATGGTTAGACAGTGTCATCGACACAACGAACATGAAATTGATCCAACTTCAGAGGATGGCGGAAGACAGGAAGGCCTGGCGGGAGCTGGTCCATGGGGTCGCGAAGAGTCGGACTCGACTGTGCGACTGAACAACAAAAGTGGCAAAGACAAAATAGAGGAAAAGCAAATGGTCAAATGTTTTATTTACACACATAGACACACAAATGAAATGGATGTTTTATTTTATGTAAGTCACCCTGAGCCTCCTAAGACAGGAAGGGCAGGGTATAAATCGAATGAATGAATGAATGAATGAATGAATGAATGAATGAACGAATTAATGAATGTATGTATGAATGAATGTATTGTGTTGAACTACAAGGAAAGAGAAAGTATTTATTTCACCAAAGGGCAAACAGGGTAAACCGTACCCCAGAGGACAAATGGACACCAATCTGACATCAGGAATCACAAGACTGAAAAGCCTGTAGGAGAGCACCTCAGCATTCCAGGACTTTCAATGGGTGACCCCAAAGTAGCTGCTTTATTACAAAGGAGCTTCAGGAACAGAATGGAATGGGAAATTGCAGAACTGCAAGTTATTACAACACTTGGGGGGAAAACCTCCCTAGGACTCAACAGGAGATATTGGTTTCTTATCTCATCACATTTGCTAAACTTATTCAGTCCTCATATGTATTCTCACAAGAAAGGCTAGAGATCCTATGTATTATAGTGTATTTCTTGTTCAGGATAATATATTAGAATAGTGACTGTAATGCAACAAAAATTGGAATGTCTTGCTGACACCTTAAAAATGCTGTTGGTTGCCTCCATGCCTGAGAGGACGAATGGAGAATAGCAGTTTACTTCCCACAATTAGAAAGGATGCCTCACACATTTATCTCCTATTTTGACATTTTTATTGCCTCACTGTTTTTTTGCCCCCTTAATTAAATTAAAACAGTTGACTTTATAACCTTGGTTTGTTATCTAGTTTTGTTTTTGCATATCTTAAAACATCTTCATCATGCTCCATGGTGATTTGCTGTTCAGGCTGTCTATAAGTTCGAACTGTTACTTTTCGTTCTAAAGTATTTGAAAAAGTGTGCATGCACACAAAAGTTCATACCTTGAAAAAACCTTTGTTGGTCTTAAAGGTGCCACTGGAATCAAAATTTATTCTACTGCTTCAGACCAACATGGCTGCCCACCAGGCTCTCCGATGTATACTCTAATATTGTCAGAGAAGCACAGAACACTATACCAACAGACAGGCTTCCCGAACTCATACACAGGAAAGGGAAATATAACAAACAAGGGGTGGACCCGCGATACTCGCGGGGGGTGGGGGGGTGGTCAAGGAGGCAGAGCTCCAAACGGAGCTCCAAAGTCAGAAGGCGGAGGAGGAAGCAGCAGGAGGAGGTAAGTCCCCCCCATCCTGCCAGTTCCTCCCCCACCCCCCCTGCTCGATCTCCCCCCTCTGGCCTTCCCCCCCGGCTCCGATACTCGCGGAGGGGGGAGACACTCCATGGGAGAAGCACCTGCAGGTGAGCCTTCTCCCCTGCCCCCCCTCCCCGGAACCCATGGCAAGGCATGATGCCTCGTCCTCCACCATTATCGTCCCCATCCTGCCGGTTCCTGCCCCGTCTTCCCCCCTGCTCGATCGCCTCCCTCTGGCCTTCCCCCCTGGCTCCGAAGCGAGGGCCAAGCGGTGAGCCGCTCGGCCCTCACTGCTCTCTCCCCTTCCCCCTGGCTCCGAAGCCTCACGGCTTTTTCTTCTTTCCCACCCGGCTCTGAAGCGAGGGGCCCCCTCCCGGCTCACCGCTCACCTTCCAAGCGGCATCGGCGTCAGCATCAGTCACAGAGCGTTCCCTGCGCATGCGCAGGGGACGCTTTGTGAGTTTCGGGAGGATTTAAACATCCCCCGATGTTTTTTTCCAGATTTAGGATTTTTGTGCACACGTGGGGACCGCCCCACGTGTGCACAAACCTCTCCCTCCCCCCCCAGGTCCCCCCGATGTGCAGATTTAAGCATCTGCACACCAAGGGGCAACTTGAGAATTAGATATATAGATAACGTGATTTTGGACTACAGTGACACCTCCAGCTTCTATGGACAACTTTATGAAATGAGAGAGATTCAAGAAAGGGAAATACTCTGTCAGAATTTAGATGCAATGCTGCATTCCCTGTATCAGATACCTTCACACATTAGAGGACAATAAGGTGTCTGTTCTGAAAGTCATGAAACATTACCTGCCAAGGTTGTAGATCTGAAAGATCCCATTTACTTCTCTCCACCATTGCTCTAAATGTCAGTCTGGATGTGTACATATTATGTAACGCATGTGCTATGGCGTAGACTGCATTGTAGATGCTATAGCTCTGGCCAGTCATGGTCATTTCAAAAAAAATTCCAGGAAGGCTACCCAGCCTCTCTTCTCCTGTGCAAGCCTCATTATTAATGTCCTTCTTTTCCTCTGAATCAGACAATGTGCAGTTGAATGCCTGTTCCCAGAAGACCCTGATAAAACCATCTTCTTGTTGTAAGCCAGGACGTACCGTCTGAAGGAATTTTGTAAAATCCAATACCAGATTTGTGTGAATTGTAAAGGACAAGGTACCATGGAAGATGTTTGTGTTAAATTCCCTGAGCTCTGTCTGTGATGAGAAATCCCATTGGGCTGTCATAATCCATACTTTCCCCATGAAATCGTTGGTAATCCCTCCAAACATTTCATTAGTATATATCAACCATTTCAAAGCATTTATGGTCTGAAGGTCTGCATTTACAACAAATAGTTTGACACTGGAATTGGCAAGAGGGAGTGTAGATTGTAACGGCCTGAATGCATGTAATGCCTGATATAGTGATGGAGTCTTTTCAGTGTGGGCTACACAGATCCCATGTTTGAAAAGCATAGGTGTCAAAGTATGCACAAATTTTTCACCTTGATCATCATCTGTCACAATGATTCCTACCCACGTCCATTGGAAATGCAAAAGAAGCCGGACAATGCCCGTGTACTGAACTTCTTCATTGGGGACCATGCGATAGAAAGAAGGGAGCTGAATTTTCACATCACTCACTGGAGCAAAGACACAGTAGGCAATCTGAATAAAAACATTTGTGATGAGTTGCAATATTTTATTCCAATTAGCAGTTGAGATTAAATCCAGGGATAAATCTTTAATAATAAAATACTAAATGAAGTTACAACCTTCTACGACCATTGACCTCAATGGATTTGAAAGGGTTTAACACTCTTTAGGACTGCATGATAACCATATTTAAAAATCAGGAATGTGTAAGACATTCCTAGGAAACATGCATAATTTGTAACTCTCATGTCATGAAAGTGCTTCCATACTTGGGATGTTATGAAATACATGGAGCTGCCTCATACTGACTCAGATGACTGGTCCCTCAAGGTTAGTGCTGTCTACTCAGGCTGGAATCTGCTCTTCAGGGTCTCTGGCCTGCTCTTTTTAACTGGAGAGGATGAGGATTGAAACTGGGACCTTTTGCGTACAAAGCAGAACCTGAACAAATTAGCATATTTTGAAACATTTCAATGTTGTTTTTACATGTGCAAACTGAACACATGAGTCTCTAGTTCTTCTCCTCTGTGCTTCGGCTTTTCAATTTTAGTTTGTATTTGACTGGCATAAGTAAAGGTAAAGGTTCCCTTGCTCGAAAGCCAGTCGAATCCGACTCTAGGGTTGCGGTGCTCATCTCCGTTTCAAAGCCAAAGAGCCAGCGTTGTCCGAAGACATTTCCGTGGTCATGTGGCTGGTATGACTAAACACCAAGGCGCACGGAACGCTGTTACCTTCCCACTGAAGTGGTACCTATTTATCTACTTGTAATCTCTTGCTTTCGAACTGCTAGGTTGACTGGTATGAACCATCCCAGTTAGTCACAAATACACATCAAGTTGTTTGGGGAAAATACATGAGCATCGCTCTTGCCATCTCCCTTGAGCCGGGCATCTTTATCATTCCCAAGACTATGTTTCTTATGTGTTACTCTTCTCAGGAATGAAGTCTCCCAACCCTCCCATCAACCCATCCAAATATATACACTGTGGAGGTCTTAAAGTGGGAGAGATGCATCTTTCCTCAGCCTCAAGTCATGAAGCTGGACTCAGTTTCTTGCTATCCATCCTGAGCCTGCTTTGGGGAGGATGGAATAAAAATAGATAGATAGATAGATAGATAGATAGATAGATAGATAGATAGATAGATTGATTGATAGATAGATAGATAGATAGATAGATGATTGATAGATAGATGATAGATAGATGATAGATAGATAGATAGATAGATAGATAGATAGATAGATAGATAGATGATAGTAGGAAAGCCTGTGTCTTTTGTGTCAGATTCACATCTAAGTCCTGAATTCCCACTCCCTTTGGTCTGGGCTAGAATTGCCGCAGTAGGAGGTGATATTGAGGTAGCACATTGCTTGAGGTGGTAGAAAGGACTGTAGCACTTCAGTCTACAGCTGAGTAGGCTACATTTCTCAAAATTCTGCAAAATAAGTACTTCCCTGTAAATTGAAAAACATCACAGCAAGCAAAATGCTTGGATGAAACCTTTCTTTCTGATGGTCTATTTTTAATTTGCAGTATTTTTTTTTCATTTGGAGGAGCATTAAATATGTGATTTCCTCCTCTTTCACAGTATGAAGTGGTACACCTCATCAAACCTCCTGAAGAGTCTACCACCCCATTCTTTTGCATATGCATTCCGCATCTCTCTCTCTCTCTCTCTCTCTCTCTCTCTCTCTCTCTCTCTCTCCCACACACACACACACACACTCATTTGCTTAGTCCTCAGGATGTAGGAGGACAGTACAGATGTAAACGCTTGTTTTACCTGTGGGATCTTGAAGACATTTAGAATAGTAGTTATATGAAAGGCCATTTCAGAGTTCAGTCCTCCAACCACAGCTATCACATTTTTTGTCTTGTTGCAGTTGTAGTTGGGGACAATTCTTTCCCAGGAAGACAAAAGCTTCAGGGTGTTTTGATGAGTCATCCTGGCATTGAAATAGCCATCAAAGATCTGGAATCCCAGGCTGACATTGGGTAAGATCTTGGAGTTTTCATTAATCTCCTTCACAGCAAATGCAAATGACAGGACATGCTGGTAGCTCTTTGGTGAAACACTAAAGGAAGGTTTATATTATGAAAAGAAAGAGATATTAAGCATTTCAAGAACCATCTACTGAACTTTTAGATGTTATTACATCAATTTTGTATGAGAATATTAACTTCTTTTTTTTGAGAATGCTTATACACTTTTAAAGCATCTGCCCATCTCTTGTAGGCTAGCCAATGGTCAGTGAAAATGGACCCTCCATGCCCTACAGCTAAAAGAATAATTTTACAGCACTGGAAGGATAACTGCCCACTTCTGGTAAATCAATGGATTGAAAACCTTAGACTTTGTCAATATTTAACAGATATAGACAATTGAGGGTTGACATTTTTAGCTTTTGGGAACCGTATATAGAAAATTACGTGTAGAATTGCCAACACTGTTATTATAGCTTTGTCTTTATGTATACCATTCCCCCATTTTTATTCTATTTTGGCCCCGGTCACATGGGCCGGATATCGCGGGGAGGGGGAGGCGTGGCTGTTTGCCCCGGAGCGAACTACCGCACGGCCGCCAGATCAAATGTCCCACCGACGTTCCGTGGTTCGGGGGGAGGTGCCGATCATACGTCAATCCTGCGGTGCGGCCAAAAAGCCGCGTGGCGGGGGTTGTGTTTTGTTTTTTAACCAAAGTGTGTGCATGCGCCATTGGGTGTTTGTGTGCATCCCGTGGAGACTTGGAAAAAAAACCTTTTCACGATGGGACATGGGCGGGCACTGGATGCCACGAGCTACACCGGAAACGTGATCAGATGCCCGCCCTTGCCCCACGGATTCCGGAAACTAGTACCTTGGAGGTACTAGTTTTTTACAGTGCATCTTTGGCGGGAAGCCTTGGGTTAGCCATGGGAGCTCTACACTTCCCAGATGTTGCGGTTTGATCGCACCCGGAAAATCCGCCTATCTTCCGTCTCTGTAGCGTGGCTAATGCTCCGTGTGACCACAGCCTTTGTTATGGGATTTGGGGGTTTTTCTGTGTTTTTCAAAGAAAGAAATCTAAAAAAAAGGTATTCAGCAATTCAAGAATTATCTGCTGAAGTTTCAGCTGTATTTTCATGGTACATACCTTCAACTCCACATAAAAAATATGAAAATCAGAAATATATACATCTCATGTATTACATATTTTTATCCTGTGCGTCTCAGAAGAGGTTCAAATGGAAAATATGATGGCAAGACAGTGGTACAAAAGAGTAAAATATGTAAACTCATCCCCTACCCACAATGGGAAGACAAGAACAACCTGACAACAATCACAGCCACCGGCTGCAAAGAATCAATAGAAGCAGCTGAAGACTGAAAGCAGCAGCTTCATCTTGGGTCCATAACTGAGAAGCCCTGCATCTGAGCAGAGGAAGAACATGCCTCTCTGATGGATGGCACAGTGAGCAAGAGCTAATTGGATGAGTAAAATTATTAATTCTGATGCAACACAAACATTATTAGCTTGCCAGTTTAACTTCAAAAACAAATTCCTTCCTTGCTTTTTTTCAACCTACAGGATGAGTCAGGCTCTGCCCATTTTAAGATTAAATTCATGGGCAAAGATCAGCATATATAAATACCATGGATTTCAACAGAAGTGTTAAGCTACTTTTGGAAGATTGAGCACCCTGTGCTTTACTATATCTTGATTATGCTCAGTATCATCTAGGGGAAACATAAAACCCAGAGTCTAGTCACTCCTGGCTCTGAAAACTTTTTCCCTGGGTTGCTGAAGAGATTACAGCATGCTGATTCTTCTGCTGCAGCATCTCCTCCAGCTTCTGCTGCTTTGTGTGGCACTTGACCGTGACTTTTTCTTATTATCTTGAGTCCTGTCTGCAATCAGCAACAAGGCTATTTTTAAAGGTAAAGCACAACATGGCCACTCTCACTTAAACACTATCTGGAAGGCATCTAGCCTAATACACAAAACAAAGTTATTTCCTTACATAAGTCCATCTACCACCATAGTTCTAGGGTTTTCATTGTAAGTGGCTTCATCAAAAGCACATCCATACTGAGCCACGATGTCTCCAAGAATTATGTCACCTCTCTGAGAATACTCATATAGGAACTGGAAGGGATCAGTCATGGTGCAAATAGTGTGTACCTTGTCCATAGCTGCAGGTAGCTGTAGCCACACGAATAACAGTAGGAACAGAAATATGCCTGCCATTGGGGATCAAATCTTATTTCAGAATCTTTCTCTTTTGCCCACCGTCTGATCATGTTCCCTGTCCATAATTCCAACTCTGAAGGGCAAAAAGGATACGTTATATAAGCGTTCATCTTTTTCAGAGTTATAGTGGGAATGCATTGGGCCTCAGAACTTGCATGTGACAATTAGCAATATGGAGGGTGAATCCTAATAATTAGAAATAATTACACTTCCAAGATCATCCCTCCAGAATTGAGTGAGACATCACTTGCATCAGAAAAAAGAGAAGTAAACATGTTTCTGTGTTATCAGTGTAACTTACCTGAATGCTGGTGACCAGTATGGCTAAATATGACACAGAGAAAAAAGTAGCTGCATAACAACAAGGCCTCAGGATGGAAACAGAGTGAATTGACGTGTTTGTTTGTTTTAAGATTTTATTAGTTTCCATTACTACAACACTAAACCTACCAGGATCAGGGAAAAGGATATTAACACTCTAACACCAAGCCTACTGGAAACAGGGAGAGGGGTACTAATACAATGATTTACTGGAACAAGGGAAAGGAGTACTAATACCCTAGCACTATACATTCTAATGGATAAGAGAAAAAGAAAAAACTAACACGTTGACATGATCTGGTTACATAAAGATATAGTTGTATCACCTAGCAATACAAGGTTACTGTTGTATATAAGAGTTAAAAATAAAGACAAAATTGAGATTTGCTTTAAGTACTTTCTGGTAAAAACTGCATTCCAAAATATTATCTTAGTTTTAGAGTCTTTTGTTCTTGCATGTCTTCATTTTCCGGGGTTTAGGAGTGGCTGCTCCTTTCTCAAAATCTGATGTCTCTGAAGAATTGGAACTGGTGCTTATTGAACCCTGTGAGTAGGATTCTTCTTCTTCCTCCACATTAAGTTTTGGACTTTTTTCTCTCTTGTTTCACTTTGGGATTAAAAATTGATCCATAAATTTATTTGCTTTAGGAACAGAGTCAATTTTAACTTTTTTGTTATCATATTTGAAGCTCAGCCTTTTAGGGAATGTCCATCTATAGGATATTCCCTTTTTTTGTAGAGCGATAGCAAGCTCTTTATAAAGTCTCCTCCACTTTCTCACTTCAAAGGGAATGTCTTTCAGAATTTTTACCTCTTCATTTTTGATTTTTAAAGACTTCCCCATCGTGGACTTTAGCACCAGTTCTCTGGTAGATTGTTTCATGAATTTCAAGCAAATTTCCCCTGGGAGTTTATTTTTATTTTTAAAATCTGGATAGGTCCTGTAAGCCACATCCATCTCCTTCAGTAAATCTTCACGTTTGTAATTCATTAATGGTGCAAGGGCATCTGCTAAGAGTTCTTTTAGATCCTCATTTTTTTCCCTCAGGAATCCCATGGAAATGTAGAACATACATGGATCTTTCCAACTGGAGCTGTATTAACTGTGTTTTATCGGAGGTTCTTTCTTTTTCCACTTCATCCACTCTTTTATTAATACTCTCAGTCTGTTTTTCCACTTTTAAAATGTTTTCTCAGTTGCTGAGGTTCTTTTGTCCATTTGGTTCAATTGTTTTGGAACAGTGTCTAATTTAGTGTTGAGGTTCGTCATCTGTTCCATTAGAGGGCGCAATGCATTTGCTAATATTGTAGAAAAGTCTGTAGTTGCTTCCTGGTTCCAGGAGGGAGTCATTGGTTGTTTATTTCCGGTCAGAGTTTTTTTCTCCAGCGTCGCTTTCTGCCTTCTTCCCACCATAATATCAACAAGAAGTTGATATTTCCAGATTTCCAAAACAAGATAAAAGTTATACATTTTAAGTGCACTTTATCTCAACATGCAGCTTTTGAATTCTCTTGAATTATCATACGTTTAGTTTAGCTCAGAGTCTTTTATTTCCTCTTAAAAACCGCTTTTCAAGGTTTTTTTGGGGGGGGAGTCTTGAGTTTCCCCTCCACCCTTGCTTTATCCATAGGCACTTCTAATTACTACCAAGGCTCATATAGTCACTTTGTAACACTTGAGCATTGCTTAACTCATGGTTTGGAGCCTTGGAGATCTTTTAGAAGTATTTCTTAAACTTTTGTTCATGTCTGCTTGCTCCGGCAGTCGTCTCTGGGTGCCATGATGGCTCTGCGGTGACGGAACCTTTCAGGGGAAAGGTGAGCCTCAATTCCATGGCTGTCACCTTGGAAGAGGCTCTCCTCAGCTCCCCAGGCTGGGGGGTCTCCTACAAAGACCCCAGGAGATCGTCCCGGACCCTTCCCATCAGCCGAGTCTCGGCACGCCCCCATCAGAGCGAGACGGGATGCATCCGAGTGGTGAGACGCTTAGCTGAACCCGTGAATTGACATGTTTGAGATATCAGGCAGCCATGCAATTCTTAGGAATGACAAGATTCACATAGCTTATTGAGAGTCTCAACTTGAAACCAAGAAGGTGTAAAATCATGATTTAACATAAGTATAGTTCTGCAGGTCATTCCATTGTCTATGGATAGCTACAATTGATCTATTATTAATAGATAGATAGACTTGGTAGATAAGTCAAAAAGCAGTTGGTGTCAAATTTCATTTCAGTTTCAGGTCTTTTGCTCCATACCAGTGCTTCCATTCATTTCTCTTCTCTTCCATTCCTTCCATCTCTTCTTGCCGTTCCTCTTCCTTGGGTCACTCATCTGCTTCTTCTCTCTCCTTGTCATCAATTGATATTTGTCTCCCTTCCTTTTTGTACCTAAACCCATCACTTGCCATACAATCTTTTATGTTGTAAAATAGCCAATACAGCATCTCATGAAGAACCACTATTAAGGAAATAAACTGCACATAATTTCATGGGGTAATGAATAGGGATGGGCCAAACCACAAACTTAACCATGAACCATTCTGAACTGAGAGACTCCCAGGTGAACCAGTTCATGGGGAGAGGAAGCAGAAAGCATGGTTTTAATGGGATTCCAAGCCATTTAAACACCTTCCAAGCACTCAGAAGGAGTTTAAATGACTCAGAGTGTTTTTAAACCCATGCATTCTGCTCCCTACCACTCAGTTGTTTTTTGTGGCAGGGGCTTAAAGGGACTCTTACCCATTTATCCCCCTTCTGAGTGCTTGGGAGGGGTTTAAATAGCTCAGAGACTCTTTAAACCCATATAGCAAAAAAACAGCTAAGCAGCAAGGTTCAGAAAGCAAAGATTTATAGGGACCCGGAGCCCTTTAAACCCTGCTTTCTGCCATTCATGAACTGCCATGCATACCCCAAACTGCTTAAAAGTCCAGGTGGTAGACCTGCCATGAACTTTGGTTTGTGAAGCACAAACTGGCTAAAATTCACCACAAACTTTCATTTGTGAGCTGGGTCATGCCCATCCCTAGTCATGAAGCCTATATGGGCCAGTGGCAGTGAGGTTTGGGACAGTGTAAGTCAGTGACACCCTTGAAAATGCTCCTCAAATGACCTTTATCTGTCTTTACATATTAGCTTCTTTCTCAACTGATTAGTAGGTGAACAAAAGATTTTCCTCCATCCTGTCTCATAGTTCTCTCTCCACCATTGAGATTTTGTCCATTGCTTTTTCTCTGATTCTCCAGGTACCTGGATCTGTATATCAATGCCACTCTTTTTATCTGTTTAACTGTCTGCTCTCCTATTCACCCCTTACAATAGTTAGTTACACAATAAAACCAACACATCACAATTTAAAAACCCACTATTTCAAATCTAAAAACCTAGCTATATCACATGGTGCCCCATCAATCCATTACATGGTGGCACAGAGAACTTCATGGCCCAACAGTAGATGAAAAAGGCAAGCCACAGAAAAAGGGCAAAGGAGGAGGAAAAGGGAGGAGGCTAAGATCAAGACAGGAAGGAGCAGAATCTCTCTTTATATATAATTGTCGTTTGGGGTGGCACTTTTGAGAACATTCCACATGCTCCCGAATCAGCTGTCTGTCTGATGGGTTAGTCAGAAGCTATCCCTGTCCACTGGCTGTGCGGTCTGAGTCCTGCCCATTTGTGTTGGTCGGGTCAGAGCAGAAGAGCCAGTGGGTCAGAGTAGAAGAGCCAGCGACCCATGTTTCCTTTGGCTCCAAAAGGCCTCCTTTTTTCAGCAAAAATACCACAGGCTGAAACCCGGTGGCCTTGTGGCCTTCCAGGGCACTGCTGGGTTTATATTCCCCCAGTCCCTGAGGGAAGGCAGCAGGTGGCCAAGAGTGCCCTCAGGGCTCCAAGGGGACTGGCACACAGCTCTTTCCTGCCAAGCCTGCGAGGAAGAAGATGGGTGGGTCACCTTCCTGACAGACTTCCTCACTCACCAGGTAAGGCTGGGCCAGGACGTGGCAGCAGTGGCTGCTTGCTCGGGCCATGGGGCCGAGAAGGACTCACTCACTTGCCTTCCCTCAGTGGAAGAGGCAGAGTCATGGCCACCACTCCATCCTGGCTTCGTGGCGCTGCTGCTGCTGGAGATGGCCTCGAAGGGGAAGGGTCGCCATTTCAGTGTGCCACTTGCTCACTCACCTGGCCTTCCCTCAGTGGAAGAGGCAGAGCCATGGCCACCACACCCTCCTGGCTTTACAATGCTGCTGCTGGGGATGGCCTTGAAGGGGAAGGGTCACCATTCCAGGGTGCTGCTCCCTCACCCAGCCTTCCCTCAGCAGAAGAGGCAGATCCATGGCTGCCACTTCCTCCCGGCTTCATGGTGCTGTTGCTGCTGATGGAGATGCCTCGAAGGGGAAGGGTCAGCATTCCGGCACTCCACTGGGTTCATAGTCTGCCAGTCCTGGATGATGACTACCCGTCCCTTAGGGAGGGCAGCAGGTGGGCGAGAATGGCCTTGGGCCTCCAAGGGAACCATCCCACAGCTCTTTCCCACCAAGCCCGAGAGGAAGAAGCCAGCTTCTCACAGACTTCCTCACAGACTTCTCACAGCCCCTTCCTCACAGACTTCCTCACTCAACAGGTAAGGCCGGGCTAGGAGGGCTAGCAACAGCAGCAGCTTGCTCAGGCCGTGGGGCTGAGAAGGACTCACTCACTCACCCGGCCTTCCCTCAGCAGAAGCTTCGTGCTGCTGGGGAAGGGCTCAAAAGGGAAGGGTCAGTGCTGGGCCCTGGGCTGCAGCCTCTGAGCCAGGAGGGAAGGTTTTGGGTCAGCCACCATGGTGGGGAAAGTCACTCTGCTCATGCTCAGAGGAAGGGCCTTTTCTCTCAGCAGTTGTGTTCATGAGGTTTGGGGTGAAAGGAGATCGGTCCTACTCTCCTCCTCCTCCCTACACCCTGAATGGACCGGGCCAGGGCAGGAGAAGTTGCTTCTAAAGTTGTTCACACCCTTTTGTAAATCAATACCTTTTCTTGCTGGGCTGGCCAAATTCACAAGCTCCTCTGGAAAGAGCTTCTCAGCCCTTCCCCTGCTATCCTGTCTCATTGTGTGCGGAAAACCCCAATGGGGTCTGAAAGGTTTGACAGACAGGCTTCAGATCTTTTCTATTTTAAAAAGTATAACATCTCTCCTTATATTAAACTAGCAGAAAAGCCCATTATGAAAGCAATAGTAAAGCAGTAAAGCAATACAATGAGCTCCAGAAAGATGTGATGGCTAACGAATGTATTGGCTTGAAGCAGCTCACTCCAGAGAAGGTACTGTTGTCCAGGAGGTCTAGGTGGTGGGTCTGCGATAGCTTCATGTAGAGATTATAACTAGGCATTGCTTCTCAATTTCATGGTCCTGATTTAGCCTTGACCAAGGAGGGAAACAGGCAGATATACATAGGCAAACGTTTAAAGGGGGGAAATGTGGCAATAAACAACACTCACCCTACACTACATGTGACAAACCCAGTTAACCACATCCCCCTGCTTTTTGCATTGTTGTCTTTGGAAGTCACAAATCCTCAGAAAATAAAGCTAGGAATCTGAAAATGAGCCAATGAATTCAGGATGTTGATTGGACTGGAAGAGCATTACAAATTACTCCTTTAGTGCAAGGATAGCCAAATATACAATAATATGTGAATTCAGTGCTTTTTTTTAAGTGACAGTATCCATATATTAGGTTGCACTGATTTCAACCTCTAAGGTACTGCTATTTACACTGTCATACACACACACAAATGAATGTATGTGACCCATCTTTTCATAAGGATGAGTAAAGTAATAGCAAAGCCAAAAGAAAACTGCATGATGAAATGTACAATTTAGACTGGGGAGACCTGACTTCAAATTGCTGTTCATTAATGAAGCTCACTAGATCATTTGAACCAATAATTATCTCTCAGCTTAACTTTCCTGAGTTATCAGGACCAAACAAGAGATGAGGGGACAAGAACAGCATGCACTACCTTGAATTGCTGGTGGAAAGAATAGACAAAACAGGCTTGCTTACTTACTTGTTTCTTTATTGCAATCGATTGTTTGTAACAAATAAAGACTAGCATCCCAGAGCAAATGTGATATTCTTGATGAATGGAATTGGATCCAAGCATGGGGGGGGGGGGCTTGTTCCAGCCTCACCAGCCTCTCATAATTTCAGCTATGAGAAATGGAAACTAGAAGGAGGGGCTCTCACTTTCCTTCCCTCCCTCTGGAGTGGGAATGAGGCATGATGAAAATTGGGATTTTTTTATATTTTCCCCTGATAGCTTAATCAAGAACAGTTGAAAGAACTCCAGTTTTCTTGTTAACAATGTTTGATGAGGTTTGGATCAGAAAGGAACACTACAAAAAACCTGCCTCTGAACCAAATTACGAGTGAATATTTAAAAAGCTTCAACTGAAAGTGAAATTCACGGGGGAGTAAATAGCCGAGGAGTATCTAAATATTTTTCTTGCTGTTTCTTTCTGCATTTGTCTTAAATAAAATCACCATTTAGATTGCATTCCTATGTTTACTTCCTTATTAGCTGGTGTCTACTATTCAACTCCGGCCTCAAGATTATTATGTAGCATTTTGGGAAGAAGATACAAAACAGGAGCCCACCACTAGAGGCCAAGATAGAGAAGATCTCCACGGCTACCATATACTTCCCCTTGGTGCTGAGATAAGATGGAACAAAGGACAGCCAAACACCACAAAACACCAACATGCTGAAAGTGATATATTTGGCTTCATTGAAACTGTCAGGCAATTTTCTGGCTAAGAAAGCCATAGTAAAGCTGACAATAGCCAGAAATCCTAGATACCCCAGAACTAAATAAAACATTGTGTCTGACCCTTCATTGCATTCCACTATGATTTCTCCAGCCAGAGTATCCATATCAAAATGTGGGAATGGAGGAGCAGTGCAGAGCCACACTGCACAAATACTGGCTTGAATGAGGGAGCAAGAGATAAGAATGGAGGTTGTCAGTCTTTTCCCCACCCATTTCCTCATCTGGGTTCCTGGCTTGGTAGCTGCAAAAGCCAAAACCACAGTGAAGGTTTTGGCCAGCATGCACGAAATAGCCACTGAGAAGATGATTCCAAAAGCAGTTTGCCGTAAGTAGCAGGTCACTGTCTGAGGCAGGCCAATGAAGAGCAAGGAGCACAGGAAGCAGAGCAACAGGGAGATGAGGAGAGAATAGGTGAGGTCCCGATTGTTGGCTTTGACAATTGGGGTGTTTTGGTTCTGGATGATAATTATTAGGACTGAAGCTGTGATCAGAGAAAGAGAGAGAGCCCATGAGGCTAACGTGATCCCCAAAGTTTCTTTGAAAGAGAGGTAATGTAGATCTTTGGAAATGCACTCATCTTGGTTCTTGTTTGGATATTGGTCTTGTGGGCATTTAAAACAGTCATCCATATCTGAAAAATAGAACAAATGCTGACTTTATTCCCCTCCCCATAGCCTTATTATGGTGTAATAAGTTATACATAATTTTTTTTCAAAGGTTTGAAATATCTACTTTCTTATGGGTAAGAATTTGGCTATACACAGCATTTGTTTTTTGGTTTTTTTAGCTGTCAAGTCACAGTTGACTTATGGTGACCCCATGGGGTTTTCAAGGCAAGAGACATCCAGAGATGGTTTGCCATTGCCTGTCTTTGCGTGGTGTCCTTAGTCTTCCTTGGTGATCTCTAATCCACATACTAACCAGGGCCAACCCTTCTTTGCTTACAAGATGTGATTTCATAGTTCACAACACACCCATAATTTGTTAGATCTTCTGCTTTCTTTTTGGGATAGCTCCCACTTCCAGATTTGGAATAACTTTGTGGAATTATCTCCATGCGTGTGTGTGTGTGTAAAAATCATTTGAGGATTACACTTGTGCCCCTCTAGTTGCTGTTGTCTGGTGCTAGGAGTGAAGAGCAAAGACCTTCATCGGACAGAAAGACAACACCCAAGGAATTAAGTGATGACAGGGGTTGAGGTGGTGGTCTTGCTTTGCCTGTTCCTCCAACTCTGGGTGTCAGCTTCTGCCCACTACACCACTGCCTTCTGAGGCCTCAGAAGCAGGAAAAGAAAGGGGTTTCCTAACTCATGTTTTCCTCCTCCTACCCAACCTTCATCCTTGCTGCTGGGAGTTGCTGGGTAATTTGTGTATTTCTGGCTTCTCACTTGGCCCTTCAATAGAGTGCAGTGTGTGGGTGCACACTCTGTGGAGGGTCACGGACTTTTGTGACAGTTCATGCTTTTAAAAGATCCTCCTCTATTCTGTCACATTGTCAGCATGCCCGTCTCTTATAAGTTGTTCATCTAGGGAGACAGCAAGGCATACTTGATTTAGATTCACCAGTTGAGGATGGTGACGTTCTGACCCCAGACATGTTGAAGGAGAACATGGCCTTTGTAATTAGTCTGAGGAAAGGAAGAAGAATCTGGAATTTTGCATAAACCAATGGCATAGATGAGTCCTGTAGCACCACTTGACTTCTCAGAATAAAAGGTTATGAACTACTGCCAAGTCTCTCATTAAACAAAAAATGGCCGAGTTCAGACTGGCAGTTTGCCCCAATATAGGTGCGTGTGAGGAATGTTTTACAAGCGGATTAAATGGGCTGTTCACATTAATATTGTGCACCAGCTGTTTACGCTGACTGAACTCCTAGCTTCACTCTGGCACCAGGAAGGTGCAGATGATTGCCTTGAAGAGGGGGTAGTGATGTGGCCGGATGTACCTTGTGCTATGGATCCTGCCCTATTTGCCGCCTTGCCTAGGCACACAGGGATCTGCCGCAGAGTGAAGAAAACACTGCTTACAGCTGCGCCTCCAGACCAACAGTGTGAATGCTTCCTCATGCCTCCTCCCAGTATTCCCCCCGCATCAGTACACACAGTGTGGCCACAGTGTGACAATTTGTTCCGGGTCTTTTTTGCCACAACTCCCTCCTGCTTCAAACTGCCAGTCTGAGCTCAGCCAATATGTGTCTGGATTGCAAGATTCATATTCTGCAAGATTCATATTCTGATTTTCATGAACCTTGGCAGCTTTATGAAATCCCCAGTCTTTCTCCATTCTTTGAACTTCCTACATGACACTAGGGGTTGTGCCTACACCAGAGACTGGATGATGAACAAAGAAGGAAAGCTTAAAAGGCACCATTTGCTCTGAGTTATTTGTAGTGATGGATGGAATGGATCTAGCTCACTTTCCCACTCAATTGCATATTATCTCCTCTTTACTATAACCCCTGTCCCCAACCCCTTTTTTTCAACAGCAGAACAGATGGTTCAATCCAACTAGACTTGGCCATTTCTTTAGTTATAAATCACAATAATTACAAAAAGTTTGGTGTTCCATAATTAGCCTAATTAATATGAAAATGAAACAAATTTCCCCTCTGAACAGCCCATAACAAAAAAACATCATGTGTTTCTTTCCTTTCTTTAATTATTACATTCTTGCCTTTCTCTCACTTGAATAGCTTTACTTTTTCAAGACAACCAAAATCATCCTAATGGCTTAATCTTTATTCATTAGGGAGGAGAGAGAAGGTCTGGGATTTGTTGACTGACTGGAAACTGAAGCCATCAGGATTACATACATGTGGGATTTCCAGTCCTGAAAGAGACAGATAAGGACTTTGCCTTCCACTCTTTTCCTTATCCCTGCCCTGCCACACAAAGTTCCCCTTTCTTTCTACTCTCCATGGCTTGCCATTAGCTCTCCAAACCAAATCTACCTCAAGGCCTCCTCCTTCTGCCTCCCTGTCTACATGCTTTGCTTCACTTTGGCCACCAAATGCTCTTGCCTAATAAGTTTGCCTCCTCCTCGTGCTATTCTTCTTCAAGTGGCTGCAGTGCTATCTGTGTTATCATTTGGAATCTTTCCTTTCCCCTTTGTCCTAGATTTTAATGCTAAACATGGATGCATTTGCCTGAAAAGCAGGATCCCCTTTGAGAATGAATAACCAAAATGAAAGAAATGATACAAACTCCCAAGCACAAATCTAAACCCAACCCAATTAACATATCAGAAATGGAAAGATTTTGGCTGTGGGTCATTTGTCTCATATTTTAAAAGTGTACATCATATGTACTACCTTTCTGATCTGAAATCTTCTCATCTGGACACAGAGCACAACTGTAGCAACAAAATGGTGCCCCTTCCTTCTTCTTTCTGCTATAACCAGGATGACAGTGGTCATTACACACAGCAAGGGGAGGCACCTAACCCCCCAAAAGATAAGGAAAACATGATGCATTTCTAGTTTATCAGCAATGTTCTCTTAAAATCCTGTTGATTTTCAGCAATTCAATTCATAGCAGAAAAGTGGGCCTTTAAATTGGATTTAAAAATAAAGCTTTCAAAGATGAGAAAATAATTTGCAAACTAAGGATGCAGTGAATTTCTCATAGTTTCCTATATCATTAAAATGACTGAGAATGTCACAGATATTTAATGGAATTTGAACAGTAGGGTGAGAAGGAACACAGAGGATTAGTATTGGAACAGAATCCCAATTACTATTATTATAAGGAGAGGACATGCAAGGATATGTGAGGAGTCACAGTTCCCTCCTCTACCCCCCCCCCACAACGTTCCCCCTCTCCTCTCCCAACAGTCACCCCAGCACTTCTTCTTTGATTACTTTTTTCTTCCTTCCCACCTACCAAGCTTGTTCACACTTTTCCTCTTTGCATTGGAAACTAATCCTTAACAATGTGGTTTGGGGTAGCTAAGGAAGCCCAAATGGCAGCAAAGATCTCACAATGTAATCTTGTGAAATCTTTTTAAAATTACAATGTCTGCATTAATACAGACATTGCTTCTACAGGACATGGCCTCATCTTCTGATTTATACCTGGGGCCAAGTTCAGAATTATATACATGATTTGGATCCCACCTGATTCACCATACTATGCCATGCAATGGCCTCTTCATTAATGATGAACTCTCTGCCCGGTGAAAATTGTGGATCCATCCTTCCAACTTTCACTCTTACAAAGGACTTGTTTGGTAAAGTAACCCAGTTAATAATATCAAATCCAGCTGCTATTTCCCCATTCTCATTAAAAAATACCAGGTCTCCAGCAGTGTTGTTGAATGAGATGCTTCTCAGGAAAGGGTGAAACTAGATTGAAAATGTACATGTTAACAAAATTATCAAAATATTTTTTAAAAAACCCTCTCTCTAGTGTTTACAAGCAAAAGGCTTTGAGCCATTTCAATACACAGTTTGATTTGGTTTCTCACAGTTTTTCGAAGTGAGACCCAGTTTAGATTAGAAGTAAATAAAATTCTAGGATAAGGAAGTTCTTTAACTTGTTCTAACTCACCTCTTGGGCCTACCTCTTTGGCCTACCTTTTGGGCCAACGAAATGTTTTAGAATTCTTTTTTTTTTTTTAAGTGAAGACCTTGGACTTCTAACAGTTTATTGGTGTTTCATGCCTTTATTCCAGAAAGTGGTGGCAAAGGCAAAATGGAGTAAAAGCAAAGAGTCATGTGTTTGACTTATGCACATACACACACACAAATGAAATGGATGTTTTTGAGTTGAATTACCAGGAATGATAAAGTTGACACCATCCCTAATTCACCAGGTTCTCCAATGTACCTGATCTGGCAGAGACTGATCAAGAGAGAGATCTTGGAGTCATAGTAGATAACTCAATGAAAATGTCTAGACAGTGTGCAACTGCAATTTAAAAAGGTCTAGACAGTGTGCAACTGCAATAAAACGGTGTGCAACTGCAATAAAAAGGTGTGCAACTGCAATAAAAAAGTGATAACCCCCCCCCCTTATTTTAGGGTATGAGGGCTGGAGCAGGCTTATTTTCCACTGACATTGTTTGCCAGCCTCCTTCAACCCAGGAACTCACACAGTTCGTCCTTTTGTCAAAACTCAAGCCACTTATTGTCTCTGGGGCTTTTTATGAGCACTGCCTTTTTATATAGGATGAAGCTTACTGTTTAACTTTGTCAGATACTGTCAGACACTGAGGCACATGCAACTTGGAACAGTAAAACCAACTGAAGAGGTTATTTACAAATGCAGGCAGGAAATATATTTACAAGGGAAAGCTTTGATGCTAGTGGATACGTAGTTGCAGATGGTATATTTCAGCTTTAGGTTAGTTCCTTTATAATCATTCCCTTCAGATGACACAGTACAAATCACTCTCGCTCTCCAAACTCAACCCTTATGCTGTTTTAGACAGCCAGTTTTTGTGTAGGTTTCTTAGGTACTCTCCACCTTCACAGAGAAATACCTCTGCTGTACCTTAGTTTGATTTTTGGACATCCACTAATCCAATAAACACTTCTGGCACACACAGAACCCCTATACCAGGCTCTTTCTCCAGCAGGGTATAATTTCTAAGGGAGACGAATGTGTATTTCTTATTAATTAATTGTTAAGACTCCTTAGTTTCCACTATGGTATTCACGTTTGGCTTTTCTTGGTTTCCCTTAATATTGGAAACTATATAGATATCTCATTTGTTCCAACAAGACTTGTCAGCCCCCTGGCTCAGTACCAACAGACTACAAACCAACTGACAGTCTCAACTGCCAAACTCCAACTGTCAAGATTTTTTTATTATTATTTAGAACTCCCCCTTGAGTTCTGCATTAGGCTTACATCACCACTGCTAGTCATGTGACTTGCAGGTGTCTTTGCTTACAGGCTGATCTCAAGGCTGGAATCTGTCACAATCACAGACGATTGCCTGAGGGGAAAGGTCTGAGCCATTGCCTGAGGGGAAAGGTCTGAGCCTTTTCCTGATCAATTGGTGTATGTGATGGGTTCAAACCTTATACTATATAAGTTATATCACTATTCCAACATTAAAAATACAAACCTTATAGTTACTACAGAAATCATTTTATTTAGAACTCCCCCTTGAGTTCTGCATCAGGCTTACATCACCACTGCTAGTCACGTGACTTGCAGGTGTCTTTGCTTGCAGGCTGATCTCAAGCCTGGAATCCATCACATCAATGCTATGCTGGGGATTATTAGAAAGGGAATTGAAAACAAATCAGCCAGTATCGTAATGCCCCTGTATAAACCAATGGTGTGACCTAATTTGGAGTACTGTGTACAGTTCTGGTCACCACCTCTCAGAAAGTATATTATAACACTGGAAAAAGTTCAGAAAAGGGCAACTAGAATGATAAAAGGGTTGGAACACTTTCCCTATGAAGAAAGGTTAAAGCACTTGGGGCTCTTTAGCTTGGAGAAATGACGGCTGAGGGGTAACATGATCGAGGTTTATAAGATTATGCATGGAATAGAGCACGTCGAGAAAGAACTACTTTTCTTCCTTTCCCACAATAAAAGAACTCATGGGCACTCCATGAAATTGCTGAGCAGTCAGGTTAGAACAGATAAAAGGAAGTACTTCTTCACCCAAAGAGTGATTAACACATGGAATTCACTGCCACAGGAGGTGGCGGTGGCCAGAAGCATGGACAGCTTCCAGTGGGAATTAGATAAACATATGGAGCAGAAGTCCTTCAGTGGCTATTAGCCACAAGGTATAGATAGAAACTCTCAGTCTGGGGCAAGTGATGCACTGTATTCTTGGTGCTCGGGGGGGGGGCAATAGTGGGAGGGCTTCTAGTATCCTGGCCCCACTGCTGGACCTCCTGATGGCACCTGGTATTTTTGGCCACTGTGTGACAGAGTGTTGGACTAGATGGTCTGATCTAACATTGGCTTCTCTTATGTTCTTAATGTATACTCTAATATTGTCAGAGAAGCACAGAATTATATTGACACTCAAACTTCCCCAACTCATACGCAAGAAAGAGAAGTTTAACAAAACAACATGATTTTGGGCTACAGTGATTCCTACAGCTTCTATGAACAACTTTAAGAAATGAGAGAGATGTAAGATTTCAAACAAAGGGAAATGTTGTGTCAAAATTTGGATGCAATGCTACACTTCCTTTATCAGATACCTTCACACATTAGAGGACAACCCAAGGCAAGAGGTCTGTTCTGAACGTCATGAAACATTACCTTCCAAGGCTGTAGATTTAGAGGACCCCATCGACTTCTGTCCACCACTGCTCTAAGTTTCAGTCTTGATGTGTACATCTTATGTAACGCATGTGCTATGGCATAGACTGCATTGTAGATGCTATAGCTCTGGCCAGTCATGGTCATTTCAAAAATAATTCCAGGAAGGCTATCCAGCCTCTCTTCTCCTGTGCAACCCTCATTATTCTTTCCCTTTTTTTCATCAGAATCAGACAATGTGCAGTTGAATGCCTGTTCCCAGAAGACCCTGATAAAACCATCTTCTTGCTGTAAGCCAGGACGTACCCTCTGAAGGAATTTTGTGAAATCCAATACCTGATTTGTGTGAATTGTAAAGGACAAGGCACCATGGAAGATGTGCATGTCAAATTCCCTGAGCTCCGTCTGTGATGAGAAATCCCAGTGGGCTGTCAGAATCCACACCATTCCCATGAAAGTGTTGGCAATACCCCCTAATAGTTCATTAAAATATATCAACCATTTCAAGGCATTTATGGTCTGAAGATCCGCATTTATAACAAATAGCCTGACACTGGAATTGGCAAGAGAAGTGGCCACAGGTAGAACAGATTGCATTGATCTGAATGCATGTAGTGCCTGATATAGTGGTGGCATCTTTTCAGTGTGGGCTACACAGATCCCATGTTTGAAAAGCATAGGTGTCAAAGTATGCACAAATTTTTCACCTTGATCATCATCCGTTGCCATGATCCCAACCCACGTCCATTGGAAATGCAAAAGGAGCCGGACAATGCCTGTGTACTGAACCTCTTCATTGGGGACCATGCGATAGAAGGAAGGGAGCTGAATTTTAACATCACTCACTGGAGCAAAGACACAGTAGGCAATCTGAATAAAAACAAATGAATGTTCATGATGACACTGAGTGTTGATGACGAGTTACAATGTGTTATCCTAATTTCCAGTTGAGAGGAAGTCCAGGGATAAATCTTTAGTAATAAAAATTCTAAATCGAGTTACAACCTTCTAAGACCATTGACTTCAATGGATTTGAAAAGGTTTAACACTGTTTAGGAATGCATAGCAAGTGTATTTAAAAATTAGAAATGTGTAAGACTTTCCTGGGAATCATGCATAACTTATAGCTCTCACGGCATAACATTTCTTTAATTCTAGGGATGTTATCAAATATATGAAGCTGCCTCATACTGACTCAAATCGCTGGTCCCTCAAGGTCGGTGCGGTCTACTCAGGCTGGCAGCTGCTCTCCAGGGTCTCAGGCAAAAGTCTTTCTCATTACCTACTGCCTGCTCTTTTCAACTGGAGATGATGAGGCTTGGAACTGGGACCTTCTGCGCTCAAAGCAAAAGCTCATCCCCTTAAAAAGTTTGCATGTTTTGAAACATTTTGTTTTTGTTAGTACATGTGCAAATTCAACTCATGAGGGTCTAGTTTCTCTCCTCTATACTTAGGCCTTTCAATTTTGGTTTGCCTGAGACTTTCATGAGCCATCCCAATTACTCACAAATACACGTCAAGCAGTTAGAGGGAAACACATGAGCATCACTCTTGCCATCTTCCATGAGCAGGGCATCTTCATCAAAAGATAGGGATATTTCCAAGATTATTTATGTTTCATGTGTGTTATTGCTCTCAGGAATGAAGTCTCACAGCCCTTCCATCAACCCATCCAGATATATGTACTTTGGAAGTCTTAAGGTGGGGGAGATGGATCTTTCCTCAGCCTCAGTTCATGAAAGAGTAGGAAAGCCTGTTTCTTTTGTGTCAGATTCACATCTGAGTCCTGAATTCTCACTCCCTTTGGTCTGGGCTAGAATTGCAGCAGGAGGAGGTGATATTAAGCCAGCACATTGCTGAGGTGGTAGAAAGGACTGTAGTAGTTCAAACTACAGGGAGGCAGTTACATTTTTCAAAATTCTACAAGATTACTACTTCCTTGTAAATTGAAAACCATCACAGCAAGCAAAAGGCTAGGACCAAACCTTTCTTTCTGATTTTAATTTGCAGGGTTTTTTTTTTCATTTGGAGGAGCATTAAATATGTGATTTCTCCCCTCTCACAGTATGACCTGGTGCACTTCATTTGCTTAATCCTTATGATATTAGAAAGACAGTACAGATGTAAAAGCTTCTTTTACCTGTGGGATCTTGTAGACATTTAGAATAGTAATTATATGAAAGGCCATTTCAGAGTTCAGTCCCCCAACCACAGCTATCACATTTTTTGTCTTGTTGCAGTTGTAGTTGGGGACAATTCTTTCCCAGGAAGACAGAAGCTTCAGGGTGTTTTGATGAGTCATCCTGGCATTGAAATAGCCATCAAAGATCTGGAACCCCAGGCTGACATTGGGTAAGATCTTGGAGTTTTCATTAATCTCCTTCACAGCAAATGCAAATGACAGGACATGCTGGTAGCTCTTTGGTGAAACACTAAAGGAAGGTTTATATTATGAAAAGAAAGAGATATTCAGCATTTCAAGAACCATCTACTGAACTTTTAGATGTTATTGCTCGTTTCTATTTTGTGTGAGAATATTCACTTATTTTTGAGGGTGCTTATGCACTTTTAAACTATCCATCCATCTCTTGTAGGCTAACCAGTGGTCAATGAAAATGGACCCTCCATGCCCTACTGCTAAGAAAAACTTGTATTACAACACTGAAAGGATAAATGCCCACCTCAGGTAAATCATCGGATTGAGGATCTTGGAGTCTCTCAATATTTAACAGATGGCATATAGACAATTGAGTATGGACTTATTTTTAGCTTTTGGAAACCTTTTATAGAAAGTTAGGTATAGATTTGCCACCATTGTTGTTACTTCTGTCTTTATGTATACCTTTTCCAAATTTTTATTTTATTTAGTTGCAGGATTTCAGAGGTTTTTTTCCTCCTTGCTGTTCTTTTCTTTTTAAATAAATAAATATTTAAAAGACATTTAGCATTTCAAGAATCATCTGCTGAAGTTTTAGATGTATTTCAGTGGTACATAACTTCAACTCCATACAAAATATGAAAATCAGAAATACATAAAGCTTAAGTATTAAAATATTTTTATCCTGTGTTTCTCAGAAGAGGTTAAAATGGAAAACATGATGGCAAGGCAGTGGGTTAAAAGAGTAAAATACTTAATCTCATCTCCTACCCACAACGGGAGGCCAAGAAGAACCCAATAACAATCACAGCCACCAGCTGCGTAGGATCAATAGAACCAACTGAAGACTGAAAGCAGCTTCTTTATTTATTTGATTTATTTGATTTGATTCATGTTGGAGCCATTACTGATAAGCCTTGCATCTGAGCAGAGGAAGAACATTTCTTTCTGATGGATGACACAGTGAGCGAGAGCTGTAAAATCATTAATTCTGGTGCAATACAAACATTGCTAGCTTGCTAGTTTAGCTTCAAGAACAATTTCTTTCCTTACTTTTCTCAACCAACAGTTCTGTTGGGCCCTGCCTGTTTTAAGATTAGATTCATGAGCATGATACAACCAAGACTAGCATATATAAATCCCACTGATTTCAATAGAAGTGTTAGAATATTGTGACCCCTTATTTCAGTGAAAGATTGACTCTGTGCTTTACTATATCTGGATTGTGATCAATCTTATCTGTGGGAAATATAAAACCCAGAGCCCAGTCACTCATGGCTCTGAAAACTATGTCCTTGGTTGCTGAAGAGAGCAGCAAACTGATTCTTCTGCTCCAGCATCTCCTCCAGCTTCTGCTGCTGTGTGTGGCACCTGTGACTGTTTCTTATGCTCTTAGGTCCTGTCTGCAATTAGCAACAAGGCTATATTTCCAGGTAAAGTACAACCTGGCCACTCTTGCTTAAACACTATCTGGAATGCATCTAGCCTAATACACAAAACAAAGTTATTTCCTTACATCAGTCCATCTACCGCCATAGTTCTAGGGTTTTCAGAGTAAGTGGTTTGATCAAAAATACATCCATACTGAGCCACAATGTCTCCAATGATTATGTCACCTCTCTGAGAATACTCATATGGGAACTGGAAGGGACCAGTCATGGAGCAAATAGTGTGTGCCTTGTCCACAGCTGTAGGTAGCTGTAGCCACAGAAAGAATAGTAGGAACCGAAATATGCCTGCCATTGGGAAGTAAATCTTATTTCAGAATCTTTCTCTTTCTGATCATGTTCCCTGTCCATAATTCCAACTTAGAAAGGCAAAGGGAAATTTTATATAAGGGTTCATTTTTTTCAGGTTCATACTGGGAATTCATTGGGCCTCAGAATATGCATATGAATATTGGCAATGCGAAGGGTGAATCCTAATAATTAGAAATAATTACACCTCCAGTATTGTCCCTCCAGAGGAGTATGCTGAGCAAGACATAACTTGCAACAGAAAAAAGAGAAGCAAACATGTTTCTGTGTTATCAACGTAACTTGTCTGAATATTAGGGATTTGTATGGCTAAATCTGCAAAAGAGGAAAAAGCAGCTGTATAACATCAAGACTTCAGGATGGAAACCAACTGAATTGACATATTTGAGATAGCAGTCAGCCATGCTATTTCTAAACATGGACAAAATCCACTTAGCTTATCAAGAGTCTCAACTTGAAACAAAGAAACAAACAAACCAAGGCTCAATCTGACATTGTGTAAAATCATGGTTTAACATAACTGTAGTTTTACAGGTCATTCCATTGTCTATGGTTAGCTACAATTGATCGAACCAGAATCTGAGTTTGGTTTGTTAATTACTGTTAATTTTTGAAATGTAGTTGTTACGGTTATTATTATTATTGATATTAAGAGAACCCATTAGGCTTGCTATTTTATTTTTATTTTTAACTGGAAATGTTTGTAATTATTACTGTAAGCTGCCTTGAATCATAAGGAAAAGGGCATATATTTACATTAATAAATAAATAGAAATAGACCTCCAGGTGGGGTTGGATTTCTCCTGGAATTACAATGAATCTCCAGACAACAGAGATTACCTCCTCTGGAGAAAACGGCTACTTTGGAGAGTAGACTTTATGGCATTATACCCTGCTGAGGCCCTTCCCCTTACCAAACACTGTCCTTCCCATGCTTCACCCCTGAAACTCCAGGAATTTCCCAACCTGGACTTGGCAGCCATGGGCGTGGTTTGGACATAGCCTGGACCAGGATGTTCCATTTACTTTTTTTTGGATACAGTATCCAGGGCTCTTTTTGTAGAAAAAGCCCAGCAGGAACTCATTAGCATAATAGGCCACACCCATGACAGCACAGTTCATTAGCATATTAGGCCACACCCCCATGTTACCAGACGTGTGGTCATCCAGCCACACCCATCATTTGCTTCTTATTCTGTTTACCTTGTTTGTTGTCAAAACGGTTTTGACAAAACCAATAAAAACATTACTTTTTTTAAAAAAAGTTTCCAATTCCATACTTTTAATAATTAATCTAAACCATGCTATTCCACATCCCAACATCCAGACAGAGAGGGGGGAAAGGGATGGGACAAGGTGGTGCATTGTGGAATGGGGGTGAGAGGATGAGCAACTTGTTTATTTCAAATATTTCTGTCCCATCTATACAAAATCTTGCCTGAACCAATATCTTATGTCCAACAATTATTCCCACACTGGATTGGAATCAATTCCTACAGGTTCCTATTGATAAAATCAAATCAAAATGACTTCATAAAACAGATTGGTGGTGGAGGAAAGTGCTGTCAAGTCACAGCTGACATATGGCAACCCCCATAGAGTTTTCAAGCTATATAAGCCTCTTCCAGTCCCATGTAACCTAGCTCTATTTTCTGGAGCATATTGTCTACAGCAAGGCTCCCTAATCTTTCTGAGCTTGTTAGCACCTATGGAATTCTGACACACCATGGTGAGTGCAGCCACAAAAATGGCTGCCACAGAAGTCAGAGCCAACCACAAATGGCTGCTGTAGCTTGCCTTCAGTCACATCTTGAAGACCCTTATGCTGTGGTGATAGCTGCTGCCAAAGCAATGCTTTTAAATATTTTGACAGCCAATCTAATCTTCAATGACCAATCAGAGGTTTTGCTGGACAAAAGCCCTACCTGGCCCTGCCCAAAGACATTTGGTGAGTGCCAGAAAAGATGTCATCAAGGGCCATGGGCACTGCATTGGGGACCTCCTGGTCTACAGATTAAAAGGAAACATTGCACTGCTGTCTTGTTTAAATTCAGATAGGCATTTTACTTTGCCATGATAACTGCAAACTTCACACCTTGATGTGAAGGTCTGATAAGGAAAGTTTCTTGTTCACAGCTTCTATATTAATTTCTTTTTGATTCTGTAGGGGTGTCAACTTGATTAAACATGTATTAGTTGATCCTAGCATGAGCAATATTTCTAAGCATTTGATGCAATCAGATCATATTGTATAAATGCATCCTAAAAATAAATTTATTTTTAATATTTTAACAATAAAAATACATATAAACTATATATTCTCTAGCCAAGTAACTTACAGGTAGGTTATTCTTCATTACCCAGTTCAGTCCTATGTTTAGTTAGTAAGTGATAAGATGTTCCCCTAGGTATATTACTTTTGATAGGTGTTATAATTATTGTTTTGAATGTGTGTGCAGAGTTTGTCCTTGTTAGCAGATCTGATTGCTTTGTATTTCTCACAGGTATAACCACTTGTGATATAAGGTATTTGCCGGGAGTATTTCTTGCCTTGACATATAGTTTAGTATTGGTGACCATGTTTTAACAAATCTCATGTGTGGAGCTGTGCTTGTCTGTTGTGTTCTTTGTATTGAATCTGTGATTTTTACCATTAGGAACTGTTCCCATAATTTGTCATGCCACGCTACCAAAGAGGGTGAGGAGGGTGACTTCCAGGCTGCTGCTATCGTTATTCTGGCTGTTGCGAGTAGTGTCGAGACAGACTCCATAGTGTTGTCTTTTATTGATTCGTCCCATCTATTTAGGAGTATAATTTCTGGTTTAAAAGAAATTGTCTGAGATGTTGCCCCCCCCCCCAGGTGGAATAACGAGACAGACAACAGTTTGGAAGTAAACAAGGGCCACTTTATTAACTATTTAACATAACATTTCGGCAAGGGACCAGCTAAGCGAGCACGGGACAGGCAAGGCAGGTGTCATTCCCCTGATCAACCTCCTTGCCTTTCCTCGGGCGGGTCACCCAGCTCCGATCTTGAGCCATTGGTCTGGCTCATGACCGGCAGCCCAGCAAACTGGTCGCCACATAGGAGCGCCTACCCCTGAAGCCTTCCAACTTGCAGAGAGGAGGATACCCTAAGAGGTTTCCAGAGGAGGTGATCACCATTCCCCACCCTGGACCTTAGAAATCCAAAGGTAGTTCCTGATGACCCCCTGTTGCCTAATGGGGAAAATGCCGTAAGGTGCTCACCGGTTCTGGTTTCTTGCCCGCACCAACCTGCCAAGTGACCAGCCTATTTATGGGAGGGTGGGCGAGCACGTTGGAGCAAGTGACATCTGGCGGGAACGGAGCCTGGCAGTTTATCTAAGCTGGCTCCACCCCCTGCCCATGTCATGATGCAAGGCGTCGTGGTTGTTGCTGCCCGGCTTCCTCAGGGCGGCAAAGCAGCCCCCGGCGACCAGCGGCGTTGCCGGGTCGCCGGGAGCTTCGTTGCCCCCCCAGGTGAAATAACAAGACAGACAACAGTTTGGAAGTAAACAAGGGCCACTTTATTAACTATTTAACATAACATTGCGGCAAGGGACGAGCTAAGCGAGCACAGAACAGGCAAGGCAGGTGTCACTCCCATGACCAAGCTCCTTGCCCTTTTCTCGGGCAGGTCACCCAGCTCTGGTCCAGAGCCATCATTCTGGCTCATGACCGGCAGCTCAGCAAACTGGTCGCCACCTAGGAGCGCCTACCCCTGAAGCCTGGGTTTCCACATTGCACCATACCTGGCAAGGCAGATAAGCAACCCCACTCTCCGCACTACTGGGCCACTTTGCTCTTATCATCGCAAGGTTGTGTTCCACTTGTAACACCAGGACCTTGCCCTACAAGGCGAGACAGAATAGCCAACTAGAGTATCTGCACTCTGGGCCACCTTGCTCTTATCATCGCAAGGTCAGCCACTGCATTGCAACACCAGGGCCCTGCCCTACATGGAGTTGCAGAGTAACCAACTAGACTATCAGCACTCTGAGCCACCTTGCTCTTATCATCGCAAGATCAGTCTCCACTCGTGCACCATGTCTAGTCCTTCATGGCGAAGCAGAATAGCCAACCAGACTATCTGCATTCCAGGCCACCTTGCTCTTTTCATCGCAAGGTCAGTCTCCACGCAAAGCACAATGTCTTTGAATTCATGGCAAGTCAGAATAGCCAATCAAACTATCTGCACTCTGGGCCATCTTGCTGTTATCATCACAAGGACAGCCTTAGCTTGTCACCCAAGGGCCTTGCAGGCTAAACTATTCGCACTCTGGGCCATCTCAGCTCGTAGCACCATGGGCTTCATGGCCAGGGTGCCCTCCTGGCCTGGTGGGTGGCCAAAAGACTACGCTGTGGCCGTAGACGTCTACTCTTTGTCTCACCCTGCGGCCAGCAGCACCTGAAATAAAAACCTCATTAAACTTTCAACTATTGCAATTCCATTTGTTGAACGCTAGGTGAAAGCCTACCACTCGCTCACTGATCCAAAATGCCACTCCCCAAAATGGAGTGCAGTGACCAGACAAAAGTCCTGATATGAACAAGGTACCACTGACACTACCCCATGGCAAGGGAACACATAGCTCAGGGCGGCTGCCAGTGAGCGGCACTGAACAGAGAAGAGTGAGTTCCCAACTTCACCCCAGGAAAGGCCCAACTTGTCAAAAGCCTGGGCACTAACAACTGCAAGGGATGCCTGATCAGTGGAGTTCCATCCGCATGCCTACACGGTAACACTTAATAACTTAAAGTGCAGCAATACACCAGGGTGCAAAATTGACCCTTTTTACACTGCTAAATAAATGGGTTGCCTCTGTTCATCAAGAGCTCCCTTTCCCCAATACCTTCAAAAAATGGTTTAGTAATTCCAC